GATTTATTATTTTTTTTATTATTTTTATTATTATTATTATTGTTATGGTTATGGTTATTGTTATTTTTATCTAAAAATAAATAAAAAAATAAAAAATAATATTTTTAAAAAATTTAAAAAAAAACATTCATTATCTTTATTATTACTATATTATTGTTGTTTTTATTATTATTTTTTTTTTTTTTAATTTTATTATTTAGGTCTATTACTATTCAAATTGTTGTTTTTATTTAATATTATTTATATAATGTGGTTACATGTAATAGAAGTGATAATTATCATGATATAAAAATTTTTTATTAATTTTAAATAAAATGGAAAAAAAATTAAAAAATTAAAAAATTAAATTAAAATAAATAAAAAAAAAAAAAAAAAAAAAAAAAAGATATTTTTTTTTATATATTATATATTATAATAAAAAAAGGAAAAAAATATTATATACAAAAATAAATCCACAAATCCACGCACACAAACGGGTTTAAATGAAAAATGAAGAAAACAAATAGCAAGTAAAAGTTCCAAGTTCAATATACAGAGAAGAAAAAAAATATACAGAGAAGAAAAAAAAAAGAAGAGAAAATAATCAATATTGATAAATAAACAAAAAACTAAATAAATAAACAAATAAAAAATATCAGTATTATGTAAAATATAAAAAAAAAAATAAATAATAAAGAATAAAGGAATTAAAAAAAGATAGTCATCCAATTTTTTTACACTATTATATTATATACATATAAACATGCGCACACGCACACATCCAAAAGGTGTGGTTTTTATCCATAAAGTGCACATATGGATGGGGGTGAAAAATATAAAAAAATAAAAAAATTTTTTATAAAAAAAAAATGAAAAATTATATATCTCCATTCCATATTATTGCCATAATCAAATCCTCTTTTTTTTTTCTTTTTTCTGATGACACTTTTTTCTTTTTTTATTTTTTTTTTTTTACACAAAGAAAAAATATTGAAAAAAAAGTATAGTATTAATAAATAAGGTAATAATATTGTGTATTTTTTATTTAATAAAGTATTTTTTTATAATAATCCATTAATTAATAAAAGTATTAATTGTTATTGTTATTGTTTACTATTATTGCTATTATTTATATTGCTCATTTATTGTCTTCTGTTTTAAATTATTATTATTTTTTATATCTTTAATTTTTCGATATGGATAAAAGGGATAGCTATTTTGTATCCATATAATTTGTATATTATTTATTTTATTCCGTTTTTTTCCTTTTTAGTTTATTATTTTTTTATCTCGTTGAATGTAGTAATAAAAAACATCCAATAAACTTTTATTTTTTAATAAATCTTTATTTTATAAGTTTTATTATAATTAATATTATTATTATTATTTTTATTATTATAGTAGTGGTAGTTGTAATATAGTAGCGTTTTAATAACAATAATAATAATAATAATAATAATAATAATAATAATAATAAAATTATAGTGTTATATTATTCCAATTTTTATTTATAATTTTATAAAAAATATATTATTTATAATTGAGAAGGATCGACCCATATATCTTGATTTGATTTAAAACAATCATTATATGCTGAAACACTTTTTTTTGAATAAAATTTAAAATTACCAAAAGAATAGACATAAAGTTCTTTTAATCTTTCATATTTGATAGCCAAAGAATCTTTTGATTCAAAAACCATTTGAGGGTTGCATGACACTGTACTACCACCTAACAATTCACAAAATTCTTTATATTTTTTTGTATTTGATATATGGAATAACCATAATTTATGAATCTATAAAATTAATTATTAGTATTATGATTTAAAATGATTATGCTAAAAAATTTTTAACTTACTAATGGTGGTGGGTGTAATGAAATTTCATTTGTTAAGGTTTGAGGGAGATGATCATTGTCTGAAACTTTTAAAATCATAAATCTAACATATTCTTTAGGTAATCTATCTTTATACTGAACCAAATCTGCCTGCTCTAAAATTGATGAAAAAGAGAATTTATCTAGTATTTCTTTTTCCATTTTGAGGGGTGAAAGATTTTTACATAAACCTCCAGGTATTGATTTCTTTTCGATTTCGTTTTCGATCTCTTCTTCGACCTGGTCGATTTTGACTTTAATTTTTTTTAAATTCTCCTCATTCAAATTGTCTATTATATTATCATTATTGTTGTTGACATTATTATTATTGGTGTTTTTAATTTTATTACCAATTTTATTATTATTATTATTTTTTATTTTCGTAGTAGTTTTACTGGTTGTTGATTTTCCATTTTTAGTAGTGTTTGATTTGATTCTTCTGATAGTTGTTTTTAGTACTTTTTTATTTGTAGCGTTGGGTTTTGACTTTGATTTTAATTTTGTTTTTGATAAAGTTGATTTTTTACTCTCTGTTACTTTCCTTTTTACTGATGTTTTCTTTTTGCCAACCCCTTCCTCTCCTTCCTCTTCCTCGCCACTTGAATTGTTTAGAAACCTATCACTGTCATCACTATCACTTTGGCTAGACTCTGAAAAATTGAATTCGTCCGGTATGATATTTTTTGAGGTTGGTATATGATTTATTTTAGGATGAGTTGGACAAGTACCAATTCTTTGGCATTTACCACGTGGTGTTGGAACCCCACAAATTTTATAACTCTTTCCGTTAACCTTTCTGCTTTCACCCTCGTCTGATGGAATATCAATATCGTACCATGGATCATCTTTTACATCTACTAAAGTCCAATAGCCGTTAACACCCATAACTTGTTTACCATTCTTAAAAGTATTTTGCCAATAGCATAGAGTTGATATTATAGTTTTCTTTATTTCGGATGTTGAATACTTTTTAAATAAACCTTCTATTTCTAATAATTTTCTATGTACAAACAAGAATTCAAACAAATCTTTAGTATATACAAAATACTCTTTTCCATCTTGAAATCTATTGAAATTGTCATTTTCATCATTTTCACCCTCTTCATCATTGTTTATGTTATCATTTAAACGATTCTCTTGATTTCCTGAATATTCCATTTTACCTGTAGAATTACTACTACCATTGCTATTTCCATTTTTACTGCTACCAGATTGATCATCATCATCAGACAAGAAATCGTCGTCATCGTCTTCTTCTGATGATGAGTCATTAAATTTGTTGGACTCGTCATCTTTTGGCTCCTTTACATCGATGACATACTTTTGTTGCTTAATGATACAAAAATAAATGACACGTAGATAATCAAACCATTCGTTTTCATTCTTGGGAAATTTGCTTTTCTTTTGTTGAATAATGATTGGTAACTCATTTACGCATAGATCACAGTGACACTGGCCAACAGTAAAATTCTTTAACGTCAGTTTTCCATTTCTTGTTTTTTTTCTGATGTATTCCCTTAGTACTAGTTTTGATTGATTGACAATTTCTTTTTTGGTTTTATTCTTAACTTTAATCTTTTTAAATTTTCTGCCACCCAAACAACTATTATTTAACCCATTACATGCTCTGACCATATATTCGATTGCTGTGTGATTAATAAGTTGACCATTTAACCAAAATAATTCTGAATTTCCATCTTCATCATCTATAAATGTATAAATCTTTACACTTTTAACTTTAACCATTACTATTTTTTATTTTAAATTTTTATTATTATTATTATTATTTGAAATATACATATAAATAAAAATAAAAAAACAAAACTAATCATTAAAATTAAAATAAAATTACATAAAAAAAAAATAATAAAAAAAAATTTTCAAATTTTTAAAAAAAAAAAAAAAAAAAAAAAGAGGTTAATTTTTTTTTTTAATTTATGAAAATTATAAACATAAATTAAAATGGTAATTAAATTTAATAATTACGATTAAAGTACAAAAATTAATAACAAAAGATCTAAAAAAAAAAAATTATTAAATAAAAAAAAAAAAAAATATTAAAAAAAAAACTCTAAAAATTTATTATTATAATAAATTTGTTAATTTATAATAATTAAATTTTTTTTTAAAAATTATATGGAGAAAAGAAAAAGCAAAATAGTAGTACATAAATATATAAATAAATTTAGCTTATTCTCTTTTATGTATATGTACAAACATATACATATATAATGCTCTCTATAGAACAATGCATAAAAAAAAGGACTTTAGAACTAGATAATAATATTTTTATATCATCAAATATCAATAATAATAATAAATATAGTACCATGATACCAACATCCACCAAAGCAACCAATGTTTCAAAATTAAAATTAAAAGAAGAAATCCTCAATGACTCATCTCTTGCAAAAAAAAGGAAACTAAACCAAGATTATCAAAGCTATGGCTATAACCCTGCCTCGAGTCCAATAAATGGAAGATATAAAGAAAATATTGAAACCATAAATAACTTTAGTATTGTCTATTTCAAAAGAAAAAGAAAAACGCCTCTTAATAAAGATTTCAAGAAAAAACAACAAGAATCGCAAGCTACCCAAACAAGCCCGTTAATATGTTGCCATTATTACTGTGGTGTGGGGGATAGCAACGAATCAAGTGACAGTGACTATAGCAGCCAAAGATCAGATTGCAATATTTATTCAGAAATAGAAAGCGATGATGAAAAAGAAAACAAACAAATAAATAAATAAATAAATAAATAAATAAATTTATAAAGAAAAAAAATAAACTATTTGATTATAAATTTTAAATATATTCTATAAATAATAATTTTAAAATATTATATATAAATTTGCCTACACTATTTTATTAAATATTTTATATAAACCTATAACCCAGTAATACTAGTATACTTTTTTTTTTATTATTTTTTATTTTAGCTTTAATATTAAACTTATAAACTACTTTCGCCCAACTCTGATAAGGCATTAAGTAACTTATTAAGTGGTTGAATTGAATCTCTATCTTGAATATTATTGCCGCTATTCATCATATAACCATTATTACCATTATAATTATTATGATTGTTATTAATTATATTATTATGATCATAATTTAAGTATCTTTTATTATTATCAAAATATTTTAAATTATGGTCATAATTGTTATATGTGATATTATTGTTATTATTGTTATTATTATTGTTATTGTTACTATTATTATTATTGTTATTATTGTTATTATAAGCAGGTGATGGTGGGTTTGAACTATCACTGTTTTCACTAGAAAAGCTATTATATAAAGGAGGCATCATAAACTTTGTATTATTATGATTATTTATATTTGTGTTGTTGTTGTTGTTATTATTATTACAATTATTTAAAATTTGATTAAAGTTAATGTTGTTTGTATTATGAATACTTGTTGGAAGATAACTATTAGTATTCATTTGAGATAATTGATTATTTTGGGTTTGATGTTGTTGGTGTTGCGGTTGTTGTGGTTGTTGTAGTATTGATGGAATATTAAGTTGATTATGGTATGATGATATTCTATCTGATGATGATGAATGTGGTAAGTGTGATGGCGCAGAGAATGGAGGAATAGAATTAAATGCTTCCCTATTATTTCCATAGATGTGAGGAGGATTATTCGGATTATTGATCATATTATTATTATTGTTGTTGTTATTATTGTTATTATTATTATTATTAAAATGATTTGGTAAACTATTACCATTGTTTAAATATGAAATTGGTGGAGGCAATATTTGTTGGTTTAAATACAAGTGACTATTTGATGAATGAGAAAACATTTGTTGTTGTAAAAGTTGTTGTTGTTGTTGTAAAAGTTGTTGTTGCTTTTGTTGTTGTTGTTGTAAAAATTGAAGATGCTCTTGTTGTTTTTGTTGTTTCTTTGTTAATTTTGGTTGTTTTGGTTCTTTTGGTGGTTTAGCTACTTTAGGTTGTTTGGGTGGTTTAGGTTGCTTTGGCGGCTTAATTGGTTTTACTGGTAATTGCGGTGTCGATTGATTTTGCTGTTGTATAACTTGCTGTATTTTTAAATTTTGTTGTTGACTTTGTTGCTGAATTTGTTGAAGCTGTTTTAAATTCTGCTCTTTTAAAAGAAAAGTATTTGATGCTGATGATAATTGAGCAAGTAATGAATCTTTTTCTTTTTCATTGCTATTGTTAACATCTTTATCTTTATCCTTTTCCTTTTCTTTCTCTCTTTCTCTTTCATTTTCTTCGTCAGAGAAATCGTTTTCTTGGCTATAGTATGGAGGCGAGGATATTGGTGAAGTATTGTTATTGGTAATTCTTTTAAATATTTTAATAGTGGATTCTGGGTAATAAAGTTCAATTGATGTAATTGCTCCCATTTCTTTTAAAAAACCAACTGCTGAGAATAGTACAGTAATATGAAATAAGTTTGGAACCGGATTTTTAGACCAACAAAGTAAAGTATTCGAAAAAGAGTATTTGTCAAAATTATTAAAATTTTCAAAATAACAACATGTTTTCCAAGTTGATTCCTTTTCTTGAGCTGTCATTCTTTCTAAATTTGGTAACCAACTTTGAAGTAATGATAACTGTTGAAATACTGATGATAAATCGGTGCTCCATATATTTGGTATTGCTTTTGGTGGTTCCTCTTCATCACCTGATGAAGTTAAAAAATCTGGTGATTTTTGTCTAATTAATGGTAATTGTTGCTGTTGTTGCTCCATCTCTTGTTCTTTTTCTTGTGGTGGTAATAAAATTGAGGGTAATTGGAGTGGAGGCAATGGTGATTGTAATTGTAGTGATTGTTTTTGTTCTTGTTGATCTACATTCGATTCTTCAAGATGTTTTTTTAATGTTGAAATATCTGGGAGGTTAATTTCTTCTTTTATTTGTTTTATTTCTTTTATATTATTGCTTTCTATTTTATCATTTATATAATTATTATTTTTTTTTTCTATTTCTTTTTCTTTTTCTTCTTTTTCATCCTGTTTTTTATCTATTTCATTTTCTTTATTAGTATCATCATTGATTTTATTATTATTATTATTCTCTATATTATTATATTTTTTATTATTATTATCTATATTATTATCATTATCTTCAATACTATTTTCTTCATCACCTAAATTATTATATTTCCACCAGCCTTTTTGATTAAAAGTAGATTGGCCCGAAATGAAATACTTTGGATGGCAAGAGAGCGTATCAGAGATGAATCTTTTCAAATCACTATCACTAATGGAACTATCGATCATTAAAGTTTCTTTGTGCGAGTATATAAAAAGAAAAATTGATGCTGTATTGATAAAACCTTGTTGACTATGAAATTGTTTATAAATTGGGTTTTTATCCATAATTTCCAAAACTAGTTTAATTCTATCTAACCAACTTGTTGTTTGTCTTTTCCTTTGTACCAATTCATTAATAATTCCTACTGTACATAATTCACAATCACATTCTACCAGTAATTCTTTAGGATCAATATCTTCTTGTTGTTCTGGATTACTATTATCATTATCATTGTCATTATTTTTATTGTTATTTTTATTATTATTTATTAATGTTAAAATTTCTTTTTTTATTATTATTTTTAATGATTCAATTTGGTTATCTGGTGAGTCTTGTAATTCCTTTAAGATATCTTCTTTTTTCTTTTTGAAATAGTTTGATATTCTGAAAATCGTTTCATTTGAATCGATGGACTCTATGGGGCGGTTAAATATCCAATAATATTCATTCTTATTTGGACCAATAATATATATTTGAATTTTTTCCTTCATTGTGTTACGTCCTGAAAGTAATTTTGATATTTGAAAAAAAAAAATGTTCGTTTTTTTTTTTTTTATTTTTTTATTTTTTACGACTTTTTTCTAAAAATGTAAAATAAAAAAAACTTTTTAATAAATCTACACACACAAAACTTTAATTTATTCTATTGTT